ATTATTCCAAAGTCCCACATCTGATGGTCTGTGCTGGATCCATGCAGACACGTGGAGGAGCATGTCAGGGTCAGAGGAACACAGCTGACGTGGTTTGAATAGAGCTGGACTGCATCCACACACAGCTGTTACCAGTGTGACGTTATCTACTCCACCTGTGCAGTCAGGCGTGTCAGTATGTGGATGCAAACGGCTGTGCTTCCTACTCGCACTATTTATATAGCACATTTAAAACCAAAGGTAGCCCAGAGTGCGTCATAATAATACAGTAAGTCATTGTTATCAAACATCAACAGAGTGCAAAATCAAGCACTAGTACTAATACTAAGCACTCGTTAAACCAGGAGAGTGGGCTAAACAAAATAGATATCGGGCCTCGGTTCACAGATCGGTTCATAAATATAAAATATTATCTGGGTGAATAAGAAATAATGCAGTAAAAAAGTTAAAATAGATGAAATAAGGGCACTGACTAGTGAAACTAATGAAATAGGTACGTTTTTAATCGTGTTTTGAAAGATTGAATAGAGTCTGAGGCACGAATAGTAACAGGAAGACTGTTGCAGAGGTTCGGTGCAGCTGAGACAAAAGCACGATCGCCCTGGGCTTTAGGTGGGCCCCGGGCTTCAGGTGGGCCCCGGGCTTGACCAAGACTAGTTCACCAGATGATCTTAAGACTCGACCAGGGGTATACAAGCTAAGAAGGTCGGCGAGATAGCTGGGCGCAATGTTATTTATAATATTAAAGGTAAGCAACAAGATTTTAAAATCAATACAATATTTGATGGGTAGCCGATGTAAGTCAAGAACTGGAGTGATGGAAGCAAATGTTCCAGTTAGGAGACGAGCCGAGGATTTCAACAAGCTGAAGTCTATGAAGGTGGACGGATTGGAGACCAGAGTGAAGGGAAATGCAGTAGCCTAATGTGGAAGTCACTAAAGCATGGATAGGTTTGGCACAGCTGGTAAAAGATTACTGAGGACGTTTGTTATCCAGCTTAAATGAACTGTCCAGGAAAACACGGAGATCGCTCACAGTGTCAGGAAGCTGGTGAGGGCCAAATAGAGTGGCTGGTTGGTCCCGAGGGATATGCCTATCAAACACCACAAACTCAGTTCCATTCAAAAGAGCGACAGTCCGTCCTCACTCCAGAGGCGTGACGTTCCGACGATTCGTCACGTCCCGCGGCATTCCTGAGGAACGCCAAAGGTGACCTTGTGCGCTCTTATGCTACGCACCGAGTTATGGATGAGATCCAGTAGCGTACACGTCCCAGCCATGTATTCCAGCCCGACCTTATCCCTCACCATCATTTAAGTAAAACAAACGTACATGTGTAGATTCATTCCAAACGGTTCTCGTGTTTCCTCATTTTCCGATCTCGCAACATTGGGACGTGTTGATGCCTGGAAGCGTAATATAGCGACGATTTGTAAAATGAGACGCTTTGGGAGTGAGACCGTTCGCCTGCACTCCTGTTACTGAACCAAGGAGAGTGATGAGGACTGAAGTCGATCCTTGTTCTGACTGAGAGCTGCATCAATAACCTCGCTGCGGCGGGCTCGGGGCCTCGCTGCGTCGGACACGGGGCCTCGCTGCGGCGGGCTCGGGGCCTCGCTGCGGCGGGCTCGGGACCTACCAGAGCTTTAAATAAGTGTCTGTGTTGGCCTTTGTGCGATAACACAACCCTGAAGGTGACCGACGAGGACTGAAACACTAAGGACACTTCCACAGCGTCCTTGGTTACACATGAAGGCCCCTCTGTGATCTACACGTGTGTTTGCTTCCTCAGCTGCTGTGGAGCCTGACCCTGTTCCTGTGGAAGATGTGATTGAAGCTGCTGTGGCAGAAGACACAGCTGCACCCTCACCACCAGGTATGTGTGGACAGCAGAGTCAGCTGTTAGGTCATAGTGAGATATACTCGGTGTGTAAAGGCACATCAGGCACAGGCAGTGCTTAATGATCTGACAGTGTGAACTTTGTTTCCTCAGAGCCTGAAGCTGCATCAGAATCAGCTCCTGAGGCCGATGAGGTTATACTGACAAACCTTTCACTCTTATTTCTGTCGCGCTTCCTGCCTGCTGATGACACTTTGGTGGTCTACCTGTTGTTGTTCAGGTGATTGAGGAGGAGCCAGAGGTGCTGGAGGAGGAGCCTGCTGCAGAAGAGGAGGATGCTGCCGTTGAGGAAGAGGAGGTGATGTGTGTTTGTTATTAGTGTGCTGCCGTGTCAGTGTGTCGAGCAGAGACTCTTTCACTTTCTGAAACTCTGAGCTGCACTTTGGTGAAAAGGTTCATTTATTCACTTTTATTTGACTTCAGTTTGAAGCTTTTAGATTAGAATTTGTTTCTTTAATCCACAGAACATGGATATAAACAAATCCATGTTTCTATGGTAGATGGTAAAAAAACAGGAACGTCTGTCATGTAGCTGTTTACCTTTCACTTCATTGCGTTGGCGTATGAATGGACCCAGGGGTGTTTTTATTAACGGAAAAAGTTCTAAAAGTTATGAACATGTAGTAAAAAGTCCAAAATGAGTGTCTTTCCCAAAGCTGCTGGGTGGGCTGCAGGAGGGCAGGCCTGGCTCTGCGAGCTTTGAAGGAAACTGAGCCACATCATGCAGAACAAACTCTGTGTGTCTCTGATGATCTGTGTCCCCCAACCAGTCTGACAGAAACACCCTCACACATCCAGCACATAGGAACACACAAACACTGGTCAACAATGCCAGTGTCCTCTATGTTCTGCTCAGTTCATCCTTCCATGGGAATGCCATGTCCTTCGTTTGTTCACCGGCTCATGTGAGGCTTTCCCTGCATAAACAGAAGCTCTGTGGTCCAGAGTCATGCTGACAGCCTGATTGGTCCATGTGCAGGGAAGGCCCGGCGTCCACGTTAGCCTGAGCGATAAAGACACGGCTCAGGTTAAAGAGCCGGTAACGCTGTAATGACAGGAATCCCTCTCTATCGTTGGTGCAGCCTGCTGGTAAGATGCAGCAAAACTATAATTCAATTCAATTTTATTTATATAGCGCCAAGTCACAACAAAAGTCGCCTCAAGGCGCTTCATAGATACAGAAAAAAACCCAACAATCATATGACCCCCTATGACCAGCACTTTGGCAACAGTGGTAAGGAAAAACTCCCTTTTAACAGGAAGAAACCTCCAGCAGAACCAGGCTCAGGGAGGGGCGGGGCCATCTGCTGTGATTGGTTGGGGCCATATAATGTCTGAATATGGTTTAATGTGACTGTGCTGATTCAGGTTGCTCCAGCTGAAGAAGAGCCATCTGCAGAGGAGATGATGGGAGACCAGCCTGCAGAGGAGGAGGAGGAAACAGAAGCAGAGGCCGCAGAGGAGACTACAGAGGAGGCCACAGAGGAGACTACAGAGGAGGCCGCAGAGGAGACTACAGAGGAGGCCGCAGAGGAGACTACAGAGGAGGCCGCAGAGGAGACTACAGAGGAGGCCGCAGAGGAGACTACAGAGGAGGCCACAGAGGAGGCTGTGGAGGAGGCCACAGAGGAGGCTGTGGAGGAGGCTACAGAGGAGACCGCGGAGGAGGCCACAGAAGAGGCTGTGGAGGAGGCCGTGGAGGAGGCCATGGAGGAGGCTGTGGAGGAGGCTGTGGAGGAGACAGAGGATGAAGCTGCAGCAGAGGTGGAAGAGTCTCTCGCTGATTCAGTGGAGGACACAGACGAGGAGGTGGCTGAGGAGACAGCTCTTACAGAGGAAGCTGTTGAGGAGCCACCTGAACAAGAGGAGGCTGCTCCTGCACAGGGAACTGAAGAGGAGGCAGCTCGCTTCGAAGAAGCTTATGAGGAGACGGCAGCAGTAGAAGAGGAGGAGGAGGAGGCTGCTCCATCAGAGGAACCTGCTGAGGAGGAAGAAGCTGCAGAAGAATCTGAGGCTGCAGCAGAAGAAACGGAGGCAGCACATGCAGAAGAAGCTGCTGAGGAAGCTCCTGTAGAGGAGCAGGAGGCTCCTTTAGCAGAAGCTGTTGAGGAGCAAGCTGAAGTAGAGGAAGCTCCTACAGAAGAGACACCAGAGGAGACCACCGAGGAAGAAATAACTGAGGAGGAAACAGTACCAGGTAAGACTGAAGCTCCTGAGAAAAAGTACACACTGACACATATCAGTTAAAGTTTCCAACACAGGAAAGCATATTTGTTTAATATGTGCATTGAAGGACATGTCCTGGTCAAACATGACTCCAAGGTTCCTCACAGTGTTACTGGAGGCCAAGGTAATGCCATCCAGAGTAAGAATCTGCTTAGATACCATATTTCTAGGCTTTTCAGGGCCGAGTACAATAACCTCAGTTTGATCTGAATTAAGAAGCAGAAAGTTAGCGGCCATCCAGGTCTTTATGTCTTTAAGACATTCCTGCAGTTTAACTCATTGGTGTGTGTTATCTGGCTTCATGGACAGATAGAGCTGGGTGTCATCTGCATAGCAGTGTAAATGTATGCTATGTCTTCTAATGATGCTGCCTAAGGTAGCATCAGCAGCATGGCTCAGGTGTGGGTGCTGACACTCAGAGTGAGCTGTCTGTGGGGTCCAGTTTAACCTCAGTGGAACTATTGAGTGGTCATGGAGGTCACTTGTAACAAGCCTGAGCCTGTCTCATGTCTCCATCAGCACTGATAGCTGAGCCATCAGGACAGATCAAAGTCCAGCAAGCTCCTGAGAGCCTGTGCTTCACAGCACGTGTGCTAGCTGACCAACAGCACTGACACAGTGCTGAGGCAGGAGAATAATGTTGTTTCAATGTTTGTTTTTTACAGTCGCAGAAGAAGAAGCAGCACATGGTGGTGGTGAGTGGGTACACATCTCATTCCTGAAAGCTGACCTTCGCTGTGCCTTCAGAGGGCTGTGACTCAGTGTTGTTCTCGCTCTACTTCAGCATGTGTGTTTCTGTTTTTGCAGCAGCAAGGGCTCCTGAGATGGAGGACCTGTGGAAAGACGAGCCTACAGGTAACCAGTTGCATGGCTTCTACGTCCCATTAGAAGATTTGAAGAATTGAACTCCCTAAATCGAACGTATAAAATGCATCTCTGCCCGACTCCCTGCAGTCGTAGTTTGAACAGGGAAATCAGTCTTAGCACAGCTAATGAAAGGTCACACAGCTGCTGTGTGCTCTTTTAACCATCAGCAGTGCACTGATGAGTCGGGAGGCAGTCATGGTCAGCTGTTTGGTGTTTAAACAGCTGCACATACTGTAGCTGGTTGTGATAGAAGGATGTTAATCTGCAGCTGTGTGCACGGAGCATCACACTGGACCACAGAGCAGTGGCAGAGGCCGGTCCAGGCTGAGTCTGTTTTCTTTGACATCACCTACCTGAGGAACTAAATGCACATGTGGGGTGCTTCATGGTCACCTGATTCAGCCCCTCTGTCATCCACAGGGTTGCAATAAAGAGCGATCATTAGCAGGAATGATGTGCATAGCTCAGTTTGATGTGAGGTGGTCAGACTTAGGGAACCATCACAGCAGAACGTGATGAGGATTAGGGTGGGACCCCCGAGTCCAGACGCTGGGGTGGAGATGAAGATGGAGCGATGGGGAGGAGGTGGGGTGCACAAAGATGTCTGCAAGGAACAATGACAGATGCACAGTGAGATTTAAAGTACGTGAAGAAGGCCAGAGGGCCTAGACCAGTGACGTGACAATCAGCCTGACGGCGTGGGAAAGTGGGAGTGATGTAAAGCTTAGATTAGCCGCCAACAGCTGGGAGCAGACAGATGTGTGACTGCAGATGTTCCTTATCAGAACGTACGTTTCATAAGAGATGAAGGGGGAGTGATCACCTGTCAGGTCACCTGTGAACACTGACCAATCGTCTCTCTGCTCTTGCGTCCACAGAAACGTAGGCCACGGCAGTCACCACTGTGATGGAGCAGGGACCCACTGACATTGCATCAGCACCATCTGAGCTCAGATGATGATGCCCCTCTCCAGAGAAATGATTGAGTTGTCACGGCAACAATCGCCCCTCTCCCCCCATTTTCATCCCTCCCTTAAAATCTCCCTTTTAGTGTCAGTGTGTGAGATGATGTTCACTAATATGCTTCCTTTACCTTTGTTGTGTTTCTTTCAGGTTTGGGCTCATTCTTTTGTTTTCCTGTTTTCAGGGTGTTTTAGTTGAGTGTGTTTGGGCCGATGTCCACTCCCTGTGACGTGCGAGTGTGTGTTGCACTCGCACAGTCTTGTACCTCTCAGCAAAAAGAGCTGGAGCTGCACGTTAAGAAGCTTCACACTTTAAAGTGTTGGAGCAACCAAATCAGAGAGCCGAAGCTGCTGCTCAGTGTAGAGAGGACTCTATGCAAAGGTGTGACGCGTGTCGCCCACCTCCTTCCTCCCCTCCTCCTCCTTAGCATCAGGTGAATTTACCACTCAGTGTCGACTCCAGGATGAGCCATATGCTAACACATGAACTGTGTGTGTTTGTGAGTAATGCGTTGTTATGTGCGGACAGATCTTTGCTTATCCTTCTTGTTGTGTGAGCTGTAGTTTAGTTTTGCAGACTGTGTTTGACTCTTTTCGTTTTGTTATCTCACTACATCAAACTGTATTCTGTCGACTCCTAGCTGGATCTTCTGTTTGCACAGCTGAACCTCAGCTTGTTGAGCTGTGAGGGCAGCGCCCCCCCACGTTTATAACAGTGGCTCATTCCTGTGGAAATCCAGCCTCTCTGTAGAGGCGTAACGCCACCCTGTCACACACACAATAATGTCAAATCTTATTTTGAAGGCCAGATGTAGACTCAAACATCGTTTCTGTTTGTTCTGTAAAAATAAATCACCTCGCTTCACTCGAGGATGATGATGTATGATGATGCGGTGAAAATGCTGTAGGAATCAGTAAACACTACGTGTTGTCCTCACTTACTGTAACAACAGCCGTGTGAATATGTCTGATTTTTCTTTCTCCTGTAACACTAGCTGGTGTTTCTGTTTGCTGAAACTTTGCGAGTCAATGTGAACTGAACCTTTGTAACATTGAAAAGTAGAATCTTTACTGAGAGACAACTTTTAGATTTTTTAATAGATTTTTTAAAAAGAATTTGGAGAGATGAGAAGAATTCTTATTTCCAGAAGATGCTTGCGGTGCTTTGTACTAAGCCATAAGCTGTTTGCTGACTTTGTCCTGTGAAGCACAAACAAGAGAAACACTGTTGGGTTTTCAGTACTCGGCCCTGGTCACAGGTCACGTTCCTGTCTCAGAGGGTTGTGGCGCACAGGCAGCGCTGTTGCTAAGCAGAGGCCACTTCTGATGAACACTATGCAACAAAGTATCGATGATGACAGAGGAGCGGAGGGGGCGTGGCCACCGTCTTCAATGACATGCTGTCTTTGAGCCATAACCCTCAGATTATGGTTGAGTGTGCAGGTGTGACACTGTGCTGACTAAATGATCATGAAGTACTGACGGAGATTTGAAGTGGGAAGTTTTTCTGTTCTGGGAGCTACAATAAAAGATTTGGGACAACACAGCAGTGCCTGTTTATTTAGTTGTTGTTGTTGTTTACCTGTTGTTTACCTGTGTGAAGCCTCGTCACAACACAAGACTTATTTAGTATTCCTAATCGATGCCGTGATGGTAGAGAAAATCCTCCAACATGTGACGTCGAGCTGCACAGCGCTGTCAGACTGCTGTGTGTGAAACGGCCACAGTGGGTCACTGTGATTATTGAACAGCTCTATGTCCCACTGTCCTGTCACAGAAACAAATCCGTGTTTCTGTGCTTTATGGCTATTTTACAGAATTTCAATGATCTTTTTCCTCCATGTTCAATTTTCTTTTTGTTTCTTTTTCTTTTTGCAGAAACATGTTGTTGAAATTAGTTTAAAAACAGAAGAATAAGAATTTTATCATCATCATATAACACACTTTAAAACAACAGCTGACGCAAAGTGCTGTACATCAAAACTAAATAATACAAATACATAAGATGTAAAGCAAAAAGTAGATTAGATTAGATAGAACTTTATTAATCCCTCGGGTGGGTTCCTCTGGGAAATTCGATTTCCAAAAAAAGCACAGCACCGACAGAAGTTACAGAGTTACAGAAAATATTATATATATAACCACACACACACATATATAAATACAGAGACAATATAAATAAAATATACGAAGGGGATAAATAGAATAAATAGGAATAAAAATAAAAATACAAGTGAATTGCACATTTCAAGTACTATTAAGTCTAGTAATGCACACACACACACACACACACACTACACAGCACACACCGCACACACACATATATATATGAAGTATATATATATATATATATATATATATATGTGTATTTATATGTGGTGTGTATATATTATATATATATATATATATAATATATATACACATTATATACACACACACACACACATACACATATATATATATCTAGATGATAATAGTTGTGTTATATGTGTAAGTTCAGAATATATACTATATATATATACAACTATACACACACAACACACACACTACACATAACATACGTACAATATAAGAATATAAAATAGCAGAGACAATATAAATAAGAATATCAAGGGATAAATAGAATAAATCAGGGAATAAAAAATAAAAATACACAAGTGAATTGCACATTTCAAGTTATTGAGTCGTATTGCACTGTTGACTATTTACAAAAGTATTGCACAAGGGTATTGCTACAGTGAGGTGAAGAGGCACTACAGCTTAGTTGTTCCCCCCTCCTTTGTCCTCCTGTTTCCCCTCCCTCTCCCCTCCAGAGAGGAGTTAAACAGTCTGATGGCGTGTGGACAAAGGAGTTTTTAAGTCTGTTAGTTCTTGTCTTGGGGAGAAGCAACCTGTCACTGAACAGACTCTTCTGGTTGTTAATGGCCGTGTGCAGAGGATGCCTGGCATTGTCCATAATGTCCATCAGTTTCTTTAATGTCCTTTTCTCTGCCACTGTCACCAGAGTGTCCAGCTTCATGCCGACCACAGAGCTAGCCCTCCTGATCAGTTTCTCCAGCCTGGATGAGTCCTTCTTTGCTGTGCTGCTCCCCCAGCACACCACAGCATAGAAAAGTACTCCAGCAACCACCGACTGGTAAAACATCCTCAGGAGCTTCCTGCAGATGTTAAAAGACCTCAGCCTCCTGAGGAAGTACAGTCGGCTTTGGGCTTTTTTATACAGGTGCTCTGTGTTGCATGACCAGTCCAGTTTATTGTCCACCCACAGCCCGAGGTACTTGTACTTGTTGACCACCTCCACCTCCTCCCCCTCTATCTGAACCGGCAGTGGACCTTCTCTGGACCTCCCGAAGTCCACAACCAGCACAGACACACACACTCACACACACACACACACACAGAACACACACTCACAGACACACACACACTCACAGACACACACACACACACACACTCACGACACACTCACACACACACACACAGACACACACACACACACCTACACACAGACACACACACACTCACCCACCCTCTTAATCCCTAGCAAATCCCTACACAGAGCAGGCATGACAACGACACTGGACTTCCTTAGCCTACAGCGAGAAACACCCATCCACAGGACACACCGCACGGAAGTCCCCCAACCCACACGATTCCCACCATCAAGTACCTCTATGCACCACTCACACAACAGCGCGAGTAGCGACCTTAGCGAGAGACTTCGAGCCACAAGACGTGGACCACTATTGTCGCACATCACACAGACACAGCACACAGACATCAGATCGGCATCACACTGAAGCTCCCCACATTTACAGGACGACCCGAACACAACACAACGTCTACCCAGTCCAGACCATCTCGCTTGACAGTCTACTACACCTCTACTACACACTCCCACACAGACACCACACACACAAGGACACCCACCACACAGACACCCTTATGCATACCAACATCACTCACGACTAGCAAAGACCCACAACACGACACTCACAAAATCGGAGACACACACACCAGTCTGTTCAGCTACCGATGAGCATATCCACGAGCACATCTACACACAGACACTATGAAATGCACTATCACACCGACACCAGGCAAATCACAGAACATCTACCAGCACCACAAGCATCTATCTAATGTACACGACACAGACACCAGAAACCGTCCAAGAACAACACCACACGACCACCACACACACTCACACCTACACCTATAGCTAAACTCCACAGACACTACATGGCTACACAAGACGAGCAGCATCAGCTGCACACACACGACCGCCACTCCTAGTTCCCGCGTGTACCTCGTTGCTCGCTGCCCGTGGCTCCGTGTCTGTGATCACGCAGCTACACGTGTAGGTGGAAGCGATGCGTGTACGTGTACCTTGTCCTACATTGCATAGACAGCATGCATACGTAACTGGTAAGCTCCATGTTGCGCTCCTGTCCGTGAAGGTAGTCCGGAGCATCCAAAGGGAACGCCACTGCCAGACAGTGCGAGACTACACGTACACTTACACGGCCTGTAGGTGATACTAGAAGAAGCAGTCCTCTCCCTGTCTCAATTGCACCTTGTTTTCCCAGTTTTTCTCGTGGTCGATCGCACACGCTCATCCGAGGTCCCGGAGCCGAGCATGATTACTCAGCATCATGCTGAGCACGTGTTGAATGTTTTATGAAAGGTGCCACTGAGCGTGCGGTAACATAAGTCATTCCATTTGATCAAGAGAGTTTTGGCATCGCTGGTATAAGTCTTCGCTTTCTCTTTTCAATAGTATATCTTCTTCTTCAGCTCTGCCATCCGTGCCACTGTTCGTTTCCGTTCTCCCTCTGGTGCCCTGCTATGCCATATCCTTTTTCTGCAGTGACAGTGTCATTCGCGTCCTTCCTCCTCACTTCCTTACACGCCCTTGTATCGCTCCCAATTCATCTATGCCCTTTAGCGTCGGCGCCTCCCTGGCTGCTTGCTCATCTGTCCCCTGGTGGTGCCTTATTTCTTTCGCTAGTGGTACTTCCTTCCAGAAGCCCTCGTCTCATCTCCTCGTTCTGCCAGTGCCTGGGGAGTGAACCTCGCGTTCTGAACGGAAGTCGCGCTTCGACCGCTCCTTCAATAGCAGCTATCCCCATCTACACATTGACACCTGTCGTGACCGCTGACATCTCCTGCCTACGCTCGCCCAATCTCGACTCCTTCTCCTGCTCCTCCTTTGGCGTCGAGGGCAAGTCGATAGTCAGCTCTCTGGATTCGGCGTTGCGCAGTCCATGTACTGCGGGACCACCCGGGCAAGCTCCCGATTGCCAAAAGTTTGGCTCAGTCTCCGCCCTTTTTCAGTTGCGGCCTGCCACACTCCTCGGAGTCTGCCCAAGACCATGAAAGGGAGTGGAGTAATAGAGACGATCGTCCTTGGCGTTAGCCGGGATCTTCGCACAGCTTCTTCGCCGACGGCTTCGAAGGCAGCGCACACCACGACCTGTCTTTTTGGGAGGAGCTCATTCTCTGGAGATAGTGACATTATCCAGTGGTCTTATAGGCCCTCACTTATGACAATCCTCTGGATGTAGCACCCGAAGAGAGCTCCAGTGTGCCTCAGCGTGACCTGCATCACTATCCCGACCTTTATCGAGCTACTTGTCAGCGCGAACGAACTGTCTGAGCGACGAGCAGGCAAGGCGGAGGCATGGTGGTGATGTCGCTGTGGCTGGTGGAAGCAATACGGGATTTGAGGGGACAAGACATGCGTGGGGTGCTCTATCGGATCGAGCGGTCCGGTCCCAACTGGCTCATAGACATGCGGCCCGTATCGGCTGAGACGGGTAAGGGAACGAGAGAGCGATGAAGGACTCCCTGTTCAAGTGAAAGGTGAGAGGGTGAAGGCTATTATGATGCTGTTGGGTGTTATAGGTGTCGGATTCTAGGTTCAAATCCCTGAGAGTTGAACAGGAACGTGTTCGAGCAGTCCTGTCTTTTTACAGCCATACTGACATAACTAAGTCTGGAGCACGAGGCTAAGCTAATTATAACTCGAGCGTAGCCAACGTAAGATTCCAACAACGGTCCATACAATAGGCGAGGTATTATTAGGCGTGTTTGTAATCCAATAAACTATTACCCCGAAGCATTGTGCGACAGTGTAAGAGTGAATCGCAAACAATGAACAGCTGTGAATTCAAGGTTCGGTAGCTCGATATCTACCCTTAATATGTATTCCACAAGGCTTTGACCCTAAGCAGACTGCATTAAAAGCACAGCACCAGCAGCTATCGCTATGCCACCAATAGCAGCTGCTATCGAGTCGGATGTTACCTCCTTTCTTCCTTAGGGCTCATCGCAACACCAAGCGCCTAGGGCCGCCGATTCATCCAGGTTAGCCCTTCCATCTGGCCTATTAGTGTCCCAGTACTACTCGCAATTGATCTTATGATAATGAGTTCCAAGAGGGCTGCATGGGCCAAAGTACACCTTCCTGCCACCTCGCCAACTTCGCTTCTACTTTAGATTGTGGCTAGTACATGTTTGTACAAGTCAGGTCGCCGCCTAC